TTAATCCTGTAACCCAGAAAATCTATTTCTGTTTTCAAAAATGAACATTTATCTAGTCTTAACTCAAGTAAATTCTGGCTAACTAATATTAAAACTTCTCTTAACACTTCTAGATTTTCTTCGATAGTCTGAGTAGCAATTAATATGTCATCAAAATATATTAAAACATTTCCTTGTTGGCACAAATCTTTAAAAATTTTATTAACAAACCTTGCAAAAATAGAGGGACTTGAGCTCAAACCAAACGGTAATTTAAGAAATTCATACTGACCTGAAGGTGTAACGAATGAAGTATACTTAGTACAACTTTCATCTAAAGGAACATGGTAAAAAGCATTTTTCAAATCCAATTTAGAGAAATATTTCTTATTCTTTAACCTGTCTAAATGATCATCTATTAGCGGCAAGGGAAATTGATCTCTAATAAGATATTTATTTAAAGTACGATAGTCTACACACATTCGATATTCATTTGACTTCTTCTTGGTTAATACTACTGGTGAACAGAAAGGTGAATCACTTTCCCTAATGACATTATTTTCTAATAAATTAGCAAGAATTTCATCCAATGACTTTTTCTCGGCATAAGATAGTCTACGTGGTCTGATACTAAAAGGTTCATTTTTAGTTAAAGTAAGCTGTGCTTTGAAATCACACTGTGGTTTTAATGGTTTATCATAATCAAAGTAATATGACTTCAATAAAGTTTGAACACTAGTAGTTATTTCAAAAGGTAAACAATAATTAATATTCAAGTCTGCATCTAAATTTACCATATCGTTAATAAACAAAACATCTGTCAAAGGAAACTGATAGTCCTCCTCTGTTTGTACACAAGAGTTTTTATTTATTTTAAAAGAACCATTTGAAAAACTTATATTTTCTATGGATTCATTGTTTATAAAATCTCGACCCAAAAGTAGATTCCAACTAAAAGAATCTTTCTCAACAACATAAAATTTTAAATTTACTGATATGTCATCAAAAATAACTGTGTCATAAAAAAACCCTAACACTTTTAAAGGAGATTTATTTATACCTGAATAAGATTCAATATTAGTAGAAGAAATAATATCTTCTGCCTTTACAAAATTTTCTGATATCAATGATATTGGACTCCCTGTATCTATTATACCATTTAATGTTATGCTATACTTATCTAGAACCAGGTTTAATACAAAAGGATCCGTTTGGCTCATAGGACGTTCCACTAGACCCATGGCTCCATTACTATCTCGGGTAGTTGAATCTGCAACTTGTTGCACCACTTGCTGGTTTCTATTAGGACAGTCTCTTACCATATGATCTTTGCTTCCACATCTAAAACATGATCCCCTATCACGCTTGGCTTGTCTGCACTCTGTCACTTTGTGTCCGGTACGACCACAATTAAAGCATTTTACAGGAACTGGCATCCGACCCTGTGTTGCTGTATGAGGTTGGTTCTGGCTAGAACTTACCCTATAACTTGATGCTGTAGCAAACCTTTGTCCACTTCCTGATACCTCATCTTTAACAACACTCCCCATTAACTTATATAAATCTTCAGTGCTATTGAGTGTGGATAACATCATTTTGGCTTGATTTTGAAGTAGGCGATCATCAAACCCATCAATCAGATAATGTATCATATCTTCATCCTCAACTCCTGCTTCGTTGCCCAGTAACAGTTTGTCATGGAAATATGCTGAAAAGCTTTCACTCTTTTTCCACCTTCTAGTCTCCATCTTTCTTCTCGACGACACTGGATCATAAGTTCTCCCATACATTCTCCTAATTTCATTTTTTAAAACTGTCCAATCTGTGGAAATTAAATTTGGTTTGCTGAGGTACCATTCCTTCGCTTTTCCGGTCAATTTTCCAATGACTAACAGTTGTAAAATATCAGTTGGAACATTATACACAGTTTTGATTTTTTCTATTCTTTCTAACCATATTGCAACATTCTGGCTTTTGTCTGTGCCTGAAAATTCCGGCATTAAATTTGATAATTCACTGTTAGTAATTTTTATGGGGTTATGTGTCGGCATCTGATTTTCTGGACCGGCAATTTTCTTTTTCTCTTCATAATCGAGGATTGCCTGTACCGCTGTATGAACAATTTCAGCTATACTCGCCTGAGCGACGGTGTTTCCACTTGTATTTTCAATTTCGGTGTCTGATCCCGGCATGGCTATCGTCAATACTAAACACAATTTTTAAATCTGTAAAAATATCGGCGATCCACGTAATCCCACTTCTGATTCTGTAGGCTCCGTTAATAAATAATATTGTTCTAGTTTTCTTAAGTTTATTTAGCGGAAAGAAACACTAATTGTACATAATTCGACATAATAGTTTTCATAACATTCAGATGGCCATAATTCATAATCACAAGTGTCAAGTCTAAACATAAAGTGTGGTTATCTTCTTTTTTTTTTTCAAATTGAGTAACAATCAGATCTGTCAATGGCGCGAAATTCAAATAAGACTACAACAGTACCTTACTGGTGGAATGACCAGATCCAAAATAAGCGAGAGGAATGCTTAAGACGCATTCGTATAGCACAAAGACACAGGAACCAAGAAGAACATAAGGAGGCATATAAGAGCGCCAAAAAAGAATTAAGTATTGAAATTAAAAGGGCCAAACGCACATGCTGGCAGGATTTGTGTGCTGCGCTGGAAGAAGACATATGGGGTGAAGCATATAAGATTGCCATGAAAAGCCTAAGGTTCGAGACCCCATATAACCTTGGTACAAAAAGAAAGATGGAAATAGCGAACACCCTATTTTCAAGCAAGCCCGACAACACATTCCTACGGATAGACAACAATATTAGACCTGCAGAGTTCACTACTGAAGAGATTATACAAGCAGCAGAAAGTATAAAGACAGGAAAAGCACCAGGCCCGGATAAAGTAACGCCAGAAGCAATAAAACTGCTAGTAAAAGAGAAACCCGAACTGATGCGCAGAATATTCAATGAACTGTTGAGTATGCAAGAGTTCCCAGATAAACTAAAATTGGCGAGACTCGTATTATTACCAAAACCCGGAAAGAACCCGGATGAAGACAATTCATATAGACCTCTGTGCTTACTAGATTGCATAGGAAAATTCTATGAAAGCCTTATAAAGAAACGTCTTGAAGAAGAGCTCGAAGTGCTGGGAAAAATTTCAGATAGATAGTACGGTTTTAGAAAAGCCAGATCGGCTATAGATGCGGTGAAGAAGATCTCTGACACTGTAAAAAGATCGGAAAAAAGATGGGCCATTCTCGTGATGTTCGACGTGAAGAACGCCTTCAACTCTGCAAATTGGCATCACATACTAACAACGCTCGAAGAAGCAGGAGTGTCAGAATACATTATAAATATTATAAATAAATACCTGACAAACAGATACTTGAATATAGCACATAATGCAGACGTGAAACTCTCATCAGGAGTACCGCAAGGGTCCGTTATGGGACCTACCCTATGGAATGTACTGTACAACGGGGTATTAGAAATAGACTGTGGTCAGGACACCTACGCCATAGCATATGCAGACGACCTTGCAATCCTAATAGAAGCTAACTTAAATGGGGATATTGAAGATAAAATATACAGACAGAAAAAGCCCAGTGGACGAAGAAACTAATTCCAGACGTGAAACAGTGGTATCAATGTAGATTTAAAAGAACAAATTACTTTTTTACTCAATTCCTGATCGGACACGGCTCTTTCAGGTCCTACACATATCGCATAAGGAAAACTGAAGATGACTTATGTATAGAATGCGGAGTGTGCGACGACGCAGAGCATTGCGTATTCCATTGCAACGGTTTCCAAGATAAACAATAAGATATGAGAGCAAAACTAGGAGAGACAACACCAGAGACTATAATGAATGTAGCCATGCAAAGCAAAGATAACTTCAACGTGATAGTAGACCTAATACCAGAGATAATAAAAGAAATGGAATCGCGCGAGAGAGCGAGACAAGATGGGAGATGAGAGTGACAGAAGACATTATCAAGGATATTTTATCCCTTACTTTACTTATACATCCTGTATCTATACATTTTTATCTTTACACTGTTACACGAAAACAGACATGTTCATCTTATCTGACTTTATTCTAGTTATTTACACTTATGTTTCATTTAATATTAATTTTTTCCATACTTTTTATTGTACACAGTACTCAATGTTTTACTTATGGAACAAATTAAAAGAATGACTACTCCTCACAGTCGGCTTCCCCGACATGGAGTAGAGATAGGGACAGCAGCGGGGCAACCGAAAAGCAAAAAATAGAGATTTTTTGCTTTTTTAGAACAAAAAAGACTAAAGTGGTATGGACATGTAAGAAGAACTAGCGGTAGCAGATGGATAAAGAACGAAGTAGACGACGCCATAAGTAAGAGAGGCCTAAACGATGGAGAATGAGACAACAGAGAGAGGAAGACCTGCTATAAGATGGAAAACGTATATAGGAAATACTATGATTGACAGAGACCATAGAGAAGGTGTCTGGAAGAATAGAGTGCTGTGGAGGACGAAAACGGTGAACTCATAATGGGAAAAAGCCGAAGAAGATATAGAATCATATTATTATTATAACAACTTCTACAACAAAAAACTGATTAAAACAAAAATGAATAAAAAACGTAGCCAGAACCTGAATAAGTCTTGCAAAGTGAATCCAACAAAACTATAAGTTACATTGAGCTCTGCGTCGGAACTAGAACTTCTCTTCATCTTGGCGAAGCCTCATCATCAGGAAATCTTCGGGAGAATAAAGAATTAGAATTCTATAAAACTAATCAAATAATCTAGAAAAATAAAGCTTTCCGATAAGCGATTGATACTGTCATGATGTAGTCGAATGTCTATGTGACATCGGCATCGTAGGTGGTAAGGTTTTCTCTGCCATTTATTAGCTCTTACTGGAGATACTGTAATAGAATTGATATAGGCTAATTCATGTTGGAAATTCATCACTATTCACTTACTGTTTTTGTTTATTTTTAGCAAATTCTGAATATATTTTGGGGTTTGAACCTTCGATCAACCAAAGACTGTTACCTCCAACGTTTCCTAGATACACTAAAATTAAATCACGGTCCGAGGCTATTGCTTACTTCATTGATGTGACTGAAAGATTTAAAATCGCCACAAAAATTACATCAATTACGTCATTGCATCACGCTATGGTGAGTATTTCTAATCTTATATATATATATATATATATATATATATATATTTATATATATATATATATATATATATATATATATATATATACATATACATATACAACGACATTGTTTTGTTGACCATAGGATTTGTTTTATTATTATTATTTATAAGGTTCCTTTTGGTAATTAGTAACACAACTGAGTTTCTGAAATTAAAGATTTATTAAAACATGTTCTATTTACATTATTTACACAAAATTTTACCTGAAATTAAAGAAACGACATTTAATGTTACTAACTATGGATGTTTTAATATTCCTATCCTAAGCACAAATAATCTCTGACAAAATGACAAGTTTTTTAAATATAAAGATGACAGAAGTGGTTGTGTCTAATATTCCAGATAATGTGCTCGGTAGAGCGCGGCAATATTTGAATGATGAAATTATAATTTCATTACATCCCCCTTCCCAGAGGAGAAAATATTCATGCCTTCAAATGTTTAGTAGTCGTCTACGTCTTCTTCATCTTGTTCTTCATCATTTAAAATTTCAAACCTTTCACATTCTTTTTCAAATTCTTCCATCCATTGTCTAACATTTGGCATATTAATGGAGAATTTTTCAATTAAAAACTTTTCTGTTAGCTTCCCCACATTTTGAATATTTGGTAAATCTTCATAGCTAACAGCCGCTGATTGTAGTTTTTCTTCTAAATACTGATCACCAAATTGTAAATTTTCACCTTCATCCAAATAAATCTTCCTTATTTCATCATCTAGTGGAATCCATATATTTCGTTTTTGACCTCTTTTTTTCAATGAGTTTTTTACTTTTGTAAATGAACTGGATCTAGATATGTATGTATGTTTATTTACCTGCTTAAATTCGTCTGGGATATCAAAAATACGACCATCTGGAGTCTCAATTGAGGCAATACAGATTTCATTTGATTTACCGTCTGATGATCCTAGTATTATGAATTGGAATCTCAATTTTTCCATGACTAAAAATGTCGTTTTATAAGGTTCCTTTTGGTAATTAGTAACACAACTGAGTTTCTGAAATTAAAGATTTATTAAAACATGTTCTATTTACATTATTTACACAAAATTTTACCTGAAATTAAAGAAACGACATTTAATGTCACTAACTATGGATGTTTTAATATTCCTATCTTAATCTCTGATAATCTCTGACAAAATGACAAGTTTTTTAAATATAAAGATGACAGAAGTGGTTGTGTTTAATATTCCAGATAATGTGCTCGGTAGAGCGCGGCAATATTTGAATGATGAAATTATAATTTCATTACATATATATATATATATATATATTATATATATAATATATATATATATATATATATATATATATATATATATATATATATATTATTTGTAGTCTCAGCAATTGGTCTGTATGAATTAAACAAATATTTGGAACACCAACGGGCAGTCCTATTAGCCCTATTTTAGCAACAATTATCCTAGACCATTTATTAGACCTTGGAATCTCAAAATTGCCGTTTTCAATAGCATTTATTTATAAATTTGTTGATGACATAATATGCAGCGTACCATTCAACCATATTCAGACAATACAAACGATCTTTAATTCACTTGATCAAAATATTCAATTCACTGTCGAGTATGAAAATGAAAATAGTATACCTTTTTTAGATACCAAAGTTATAAGAACTAATGATAACAGAATCATATTAGATTGGTATCAAAAAGATACTGCATCCGGCAGATTTATAAATTATTATTCTAATCATCCTAGAAATCAAAAATTCAACACAATTATATCTATGAAAAATCGTGTAACGGCAATCTGTGATCGGAGTTTCCTAGATGTCAATTTAAAGAAACTTTTTGAAATGTTTTTAAACAATGGCTACCCAAAACATATATTAAAAAAACTTATTTATAACACTCACTTTCACAATAGAGCTTTAATAAATAATCCACAACCAGTTTTATACAAAAAAATACCTTACATAAAAAATTTAACAGACCAAATTGTCCCACTTTTCAAAACATTTCCGAACATTAAATTAATTAAATACAATCCACTTCTAAATTCAAGGTTGTTCTCAAAAATAAAAGTTAAAACTCCAAATTCACTAATGAGTAATATAATTTATAGAATAAATTGCAGTCAATGTCAAAGTTGTTATATTGGACAAAGTCAACAGTGGCTTAAACAACGTGTCACTCAACACAAAAGTGACTGTAACTTACGAAAAAACTCTTGTGCCTTAGTGGACCACCACTTAAAGACAGGACATAACTTTGACTTTAATAATGTAAAAATCTTAGAACAAATTGATAATTATAAAAATCGACTTTTCCTTGAAATGGTACACATTAATAAAACTCCAGAATCTATCAATTATAAGACAGACACCAACCATTTAAGTAATATCTACTGTAATATACTAAACAATATATGATATGATAGATCTTAATATCAGTATCTAACAACATCAGACCAATAACTGACTACGTACCATCAATTACATTTTATAGATCAATTTACCATGTTCCTGATTCTTTCTCAATATTCTACTTTTCCACCTTATTATATGGATAATACTGTCACAATATGTAATTGTTTATTAAAACTTATTCGCTAAAAATTGTACAATGGGAATTCACTCTATAAAATATTGCGGTTACCATAACTCCCAAATAAATTAAAATAAAAAAAAAATGTCATTTATCTAATTGGATATGTTATCAAAATTTAAATTTTTAATCTTAAGTTGTAAGTATTGAAATATTCATTTTGTTTACATATAATAATTATAATAAATTTACAGTTTTCTCCTGAAGAAGTCACAAAATCGTGACGAAATATTGAGAAATAACAAATAGAGTTTTATTTCATACAGACCAATTGCTGAGACTACAAATAATATTTAACACAGTACGGTCGAGAATAATTTGATAAATATATATATATATATATATATATATATATATATATATATATATATATATATATATATATACATATACAACGACATTGTTTTGTTGACCATAGGATTTGTTTTATTGCAATCCCATCTCTAGAGTATATTTATTATGCTCTAAAACTAATTTTTTGGTTATTTTTTAGCCTTAATAGGAATACAAATAAATAAGTAAGTAAATAAGTAATATCCTTTATTGTCACTGAAAATTGTACACATTTTATGGACAAAGCTTATAACAATACGACAATAAAGAAGAAAACAAATCAGAATAAGAATCGTTTGCACTTTTAAATAAAAAAAAAACAATAAAATTCTTCCAAACTTAAACATAAAAAATACTAAGGGCTACTACTAATTAAGGGCTCAAATACTCCACCTCCTTGTGCTAAATAGTAACCAAATCTGTCAAACAGATTTCTCCTCATATTTTGGAGTAGGGCTGGTGTAATGCTTGCAGAGAACTGAAGTATTTTTACCCTTAATTCGACTAGGTTTGTGACCCTTTCAAACTGATGCCTATCATTGTTCTCTCTGAGAAAACCCCAAGGCGCTAAGTCACAGGATCTAGCGGGCCATTTAATTGTACCACATCTACTTATCAGTCGATCAGAAAACGCTTGATTGAGGAAGTCAATAGTTGCTCTAGAGTTGTGAGCCGAATACCCATCCTGTTGGAAATAAACCTCCTGAAAATTAACGGGAAGGCGTCGAACTGCTGGAATGATCTCATTCTGTAAAAGTTGTAAATATTTAGGCCCATTTAGGTTTCCATCAAACACCAAACCAAGCATTTAACTTTTGCGGATGCTGCGTTCGCACCGCAACACTGAGGTGCTTATTTTTCCGAGAATAATACCTTGCAACGGATGCATTGTGTTTTTTATGTAATGAAAATGAAGATTCGTCAGAAAATAAAATATTTTTTAAAAAGTGTACATTTTCATTCTATTTATCTAACATAAATTCACAAAATTCCATCCGCCTAAAGTTATCTTCCGGAAACAGTTCTTGTGTTGGTTGTATCTTAAAACAGTGATACTCATTCCTTTTGAGAACTCGCTGGACAGTTCGAGCATTTACGTTAACTTCCCTAGCAATTTGTACACTTTTGCAGGGTTCACTAGCTTCCACAAAAGCACAAATATCAATATCCCTGTTTTGACGATATTCATCGATAAGTCTAACGCGTGGTTCATTACCTTCATAACACTTTTTACAACTGTTTACACATCCCGAAGTTTGAAAATATTTAATGGTATTTTTAACTGTTGTAACACTTGGTGGGGGTCTATTTTCGTAGGCAACAATAAATAAATCAATGACCCTAAAAGTACCATGTGACAAGTTGTACTTTTTCTTGGACGGTATACAATGTAATAGGCATTTTATTCATTATTTCTTTATTCTTTCAGAACTTCGCTTGGAATTTTTAATGTCAATGTGACGATTACGACAATTCGTACCTACTGTGAAATGAATATAGAGGTGGAAACGTGTAACATGTCACAGCGATTGCCATTGTGTTGTATGGTCAATAAAACAATGTCGTGATCTGTATAATATTTATTGTACCTGTGTCAACGATCTCTGTAATACAGATACATTAATCCAATAAAAAAGCACATTTTGTATTCGTGGTATATTTTTTGGAACCATTTTTAAGATACTTTGTATAATTGTATACATACTTATAAAAATCTTTTTTAGGATTTCTTTATCGATTTCAGTAAAAGTAGCCCTTGCATATTGTCTCGGTCTGCTCTTCAGATGATGTATCCTGGTTCAACTGGAAATTTAAAAGAAATATTGAAGGAGGCTGTCAAATCATTTATTTCCCCTCCAGCACTAATATCCAAAGCTCTTTTAAATAATCCGCAGGTAATAACTTCTGCATTATACTGCTTAAAAAGGTATATACTGTAAACGTCACGTAGCCGGCTGTACCTGACAAAGTCTATGCTTTTTATACAGGGTGTCCAAAAACTCTCCTGACAAACGAAAACCGTAGATTCCTCAGATAGTTTTAAGACGATTTAACACAATTCACCTAGTCCGAAAATGTTTCCTAAGTGAGCTAGAGCTCTTTGAAGATGGCGCCTTTAGGCATTTTAGTACTAACTAAAAGGTGTGTAACTTTAAGTGTGCAGAACACTAGGATACACCGTTTTCTATAAAAATAGATTTGAAAATGTTTCGATTTTTCGTCATAAAAGTTAAATTAATAGATACCTTAATTAATTTTAAAAACTACCTTTTATTTCAATAAATGCAGCACACAATCCGTAAAAAAAGTTTGGAAAAAGAAGCAAAAAATAAATTTGAAACAAAATTTTAAAGATTTTAAAAAAGAAACTATTTATTACGATGGAACGAAATTACGAGTAAGATGCTCAACGTGATGACCATTGGTCAGCTTTAAACCACCTAAAAAGCCATTTCATTAAAAAAATAAATCAATAGAAAACAACATATAGTCCTTTTCCATCATATTGATAGCACATTATGTATGCAAATCCTCAACAGGTCAAAAAACCATAGGTGTCACCCTATACTTATTTTTAAATAAAAAAAATTAATATTTTAAGATGCCGTCAACAATTCATTATCTTTTAAAAAATCTTCTGTAAAATAAGTGTCCGCTAATCTCACTATACCTTTTTTGTGCGTAAAAAACGTCGGTATATATGCCACACGATTAATGTTAATTATACACAGGTGATTAACGAGAGAATTCAGAATTGTTTTCTATACAAGTTATCGCCTGACACAAACAGAATACCTTCTTTGAACGATTACCTGGAATTACTGATAAGGCTTCACTAAAGACAGTTTAAGTAGTTTTTATGCCACATTACAGCTTATGCCAATAATATAAATTAGAAATTGTTTGCATCTTCCATTTAGTTTGTAGATGTACATTGTTCATGTCTTACCTACCTACGTTTTTGGTGTCGATATTTTGTTATTTGCATTTAAAAATGACGTCGACAGCAGGTTTTATCCCGGTTAAGTGTAGTTTTAAAGGTGCCTTCAGTCTAAGAGAGAAAAATATAATATTAAATGTACACGATGCACTTGTACATCACGCCTTTAAGTAATGTCGTGAAATCGTTAACATGTGTTCAAATATGACAGGGGTTGGAGAAGCAACAATTTATAGATTCCTAAAAGAAAGAAAAGGAGGAACTGTTTCATCTCCCAAGAAGAGTGGAGGGAGTAAACTCTTGGAAATTGAAGAAATACATAAAAACATGATAAGACGCAGCGTCCACTCATTTTTTTTAACAAAGAATTTCCAACATTGGACAAAATCCAAACATTAATTAGAGAAAACGAAGAGTTACCAATCATAAGCAACAAGAAATTATGGGGACTATTGAGAGAGATGGGATTTCGTTGGCAAAAGAATAGAAGAAAATCCGTTTTAATTGAAAAATATTACATTGTATGTTGGAGACGAGATTATCTAAGAACTATTAAAAAGTACCGAGAAGAAGGGAAAACAATTTTTTATTTGGACGAGACTTGGCTAAATGAAGGTCATACTGTACCATATCTATGGGTTGATACAAATGTGAAAAGTTCCCGTCAGGCATTCATCGAAGGTGTATCTACTGGAATAAACAATATTCCCGTTGGAAAAGGACGCAGACTCATAATAACCCATATTGGAAACGAATACGGTTTTGTCAATGGTGGATTATTAAGTTTTGCCTCAAAATCAACCAAAGATTACCACGAGGAAATGACTGCTGACGTTTTTGAAGAATATTTTGAGCAAATGTTGGATTTAATTCCAAAAAATTCTGTCATAGTCATGGATAATGCTAGTTACCATTCAAGACTAGCAGAAAAATTGCCAACAACGGCATGGAAAAAAGGAGAGATAATCGAATGGTTGGATAAACACGCAATTGAGTACAAGGAGAATTCGACAAAAAAGGAATTATTACCTATTGTAAGGCAACATAAAGCAGCTTATAAAAAATATATAATTGATGAAATGGCATTAAACCGTGATGTAATTATTTTACGTTTACCCCCATACCACTGTGATCTGAATCCGATAGAAAATATATGGTCTCAAGTAAAGGGTGAAGTCGGACGCAACAACAAAACTTTTAAATTAGAAGACTTACAACAATTATTAGAACATTCCTTATCAAAAGTAACTCCAGAAAATTGGAAAAATGCTGTTAGTCATGCTCACAAGGAAGAAAATAAAATGTGGAATTTGGATAATATGACTGATGCAATGCTGGAACCGGTAATAATTAACATTGGAGTTGAAGATTCCTTAGATTCTGAAGAAAGCAGTGAATCTGAAATGGAATTTGATTAAAATAATATTCATTTTTTTACAAATCGGCCCCTGTTACGGCCACAAATTATTTTATATATAACCAATAAAATAAACATCTTACATTTCTTGCAAATTCATTAGTACCTGTTAATCTCCATCACTCCGACACTGGCAACTTTATTTAGGGATTAGTAACCCTCAAAACTATTGTATTCTATTCTGCTTCAACCTTTATACCTGGTGGTCATACTCAATTTAAAATTGTTTTCCTATATACTTCTGTAAACTTGTTGACAAATATCTATTTTTCATTGAGTCACCCGTATCAACAGTTTAGGGATTTGCATACATAATGTGCTATCAATATGATGGAAATGGACTATAGTATTTACAAAAGCAGACAAATATAAAACTACTATTGCTATAAATAAAATAGAATATAATAAGAGAATAATAGAATTTTTAAATAATCAAAATATTGAAACGGTAACAAAGATCCGACAGAAAAGTATCAAAAACAAATTAAACTATCGTTAGAAAATTAAAAATCAATATTAAATTCAATACAGTATAGGTAAAAGTTTATGGTCGATATGGACCTTACTGAGATGGAGTGAGAAAAACCTGTTTAAAAAGAGAGAGGTATATTAGGTCCGCCCTTTATATCGCCGAACATGCATGAGTGGATATAATAAAAAAGGGAAGTTCAACGTTGCCAAACTTATTGGTTTTATTTGACCTGTTGTCTTTTTAGCATTTGAACAATGTTCTAAGATAATCAAATTTGGGCGAAATGGATTTAAATGGCAGCTTACTGTTTTTTATTGGGAATATGCCACAATTTTACTTTACAATAAGTGTAATATAACATGTTGATTTCCACTTCGGAAATCGTTTTATATAAATAAAATTTATTAATGTTTCGCATTGTTTGCTAAAATTTTATTACAAGATTTTTGCAGGCAGCGTACCATAACAATCACTGAACTACCCTTCAAGTATTTTTGGCCACTCATTGTACTTGTTATTTCATTAAAAGGCTGTAAAATTTGGGAAAGTTGAGAACAAATAACCCAGTGCTCATTATTTAGATTTGGTCTAAGTCTGTATTAACTCATACCAATGTGGAACGGGTTACCTCTTCTAACTCGGTATTTTCTAACTCGGACCCAAACCTTTTCTTTTCCTTGTTTTCAAAACAATTTTCAATTGCTGCACAATATGCAGAATACACATACTACACCAGAATAACAGAAAGCTGTAAATAAATAGGTACGTTACGTTTACAAAAATCTGGGCAACAAACAGCACTAATAGCAAAGACCTCTGTGGTCAGCAATCTGAACTAGGTGGACTATCATCCTTATAGCCTGCATATGTAGCAGCTGTATTCTTTTAGCCTAGAAGACGTATTTTTAAAAGCTGAATGGTTTGTAGACCTTCATCTTTTTTGCTTAGTTAGATACCATACAATATTTTAAATGAGATCAACTACAAGAAATTAGTATTATCTCGATAATGACAAGTAATGGACCCTCATCTTTTTAGCTTTGAGCTCTTCATTTAGAAAAAAACCGAAATTGGTGACTTATTTTGCAACTTTCTAAGTAACAAATAAGGACAAAAATCTTAAAAAAAAATGCAATTTTGAAGAATTTTTTTGGCTTGGAAGACTTGGAAAAATTTGTTTCAAATTTTTTGCTGATGACGAAAACAGTCAAAATTTACCGTTTTTTGACCTTAGTTTGTTAATAACTAATTAAGGCCAAAAAATTTTATTTGCTTGGCCGATTTACGTCACAAACTGGGTAATTTTTTTTGCATATTTCTGTGTTCTATAAAGTACAGTAATACAGTCCATATTATTATATGATTATACAGATTGAACGAATTTAAAACGGATCATACAATTTAATATATGTCTGTTTGAACTGCATTTGAAATAGTGGACCAATATAAAACTTGGACAAAAATAAATCCATACCCGGTGATAGACATTGTATAAAATATCGTTCAACAATGTTACAATGTTGTTTGCGTAAAGGAAGCGATAATAGTTCAGGAAATGAAGCTCGAAAAAAGTTAAAACTTCGCAATTTTTTCGTCCTGCATGCATTGAGTTGAAATTTTAACAGAAGGTAGGTGATAGCCCAAGGATCAAAATCTATATCGAACCGAAGTGCGCTGAAGGGTTTTAGGGGTGAAAACTACCCATAATTGTCAAAAATTATAATATAACATATTAAACCTGAATATGGGTAAAATTTGGTTTGAATTAATTAAATAATGATAGTTTCGTGCTTTTGAATATAGTTCCATCATATTTCAACCCGTAAAAAGTGACCCTTGTTAGAGATTAATGTAAAAAAAGTAGTAATGCGAAGAAAATGATTTCGCCTTGGAACGATTTAGATAAAAATTTGGAATTAAGCTCAACTCACCCCTGCTTTATAGTTTATGTCATGCCGATGAACCCTGATTGTTCTTAGGGGTGAAAACTACCCTAATTTTCAAAAATTGTAAAATAACATTATATAAATCTTAAGATGAGTGAAATTTGGTTTGGATTAGTTAAATAGTGATTTTTTTATACTTTAAAATATAATTTCATACATTTTCAACCCTTAAAAATCAATTGTTATGAGTGCTATAGGTGAAAACAATTTTTTGCCAAAATTTTGCAACTTTTCAACTTTTGAATATCACCCTTTATAACATTGCAGTTTTTATAAACTAATTTAATAGATATAAATTAAAAAAAGTAGAATTAAATACAAAAAAATTTATCAGGTTGTTTGTTCATGCGTACGGGTAATAACAAACCATCTTTGGAATACCATCCCCAATCTGTTGGTTTTGTAGAGGTTTCTAAGAGCTACAAGGATCTGTGAATTTTATCTTTTTGGAACACTTATTTTTTAAATGGGGTGAGTTTAAAGGGCTCGAAAAAGATGGTGCTTGATCGTAAATCGATGTTTTAAACGGCTATATCTCGTGAAATATTCAGTGTACAAGAAATCTAAATAAAGGAAAATTTTAGTCATTAAAAAAGCTACAATTTAGTACATTTTTATTTTTTTCATATATTCAGTATTTTCGGGGATATTTAAAAAAAGAAGGGTAAAAAATATGAAATTGTAAATCGTTTCTCGCTTTATGCTGTACTTTTTCTAAAACTAAGCATTTTAAATGGGTCAAACTTCTTGGACGTATTAACAATACATGTACAAAGAGAATTGCAGAAGGGTGAAGATCGATTTTAATTATGGGGTGGTTAGGGGGTTGTTTTCATCGATTTTTTCGTAAAAAAATGAGGTATTGACCTTATTTTTATCATAACTCACTCAATTTTTGAGCTAGAGTCTTTTTTTATGATAGGTCTATTTATGCTCTTTAAAAAAGGTTCTGTGAGTTTTCTTCCAAAAATGCATCATTTTCCCGATATTTGACTTTGAATCTTTCAAATTTGGCATTTGAAGAAAACCGCTGAACATTGATAGGCCGTATTTCGGTTCCTGTTATATCGCAAAAACATTTTAAAAAATGAATTGTATTTGTCTTTTTAAAAGCTACAAATTTGTTCTCTACAATTTTTTTGATAAAATGCACCATTTTCGAGTTATTCGCGAAAAATCGATTAAAAACGTCGATTTTTTCGTCTAAAAGTTGTTACTTTCAATCGCGAATAACTTGAAAAATATCAGTTTTACAAAAAAAATGTATAGAACATTTTTTGTTTAGAATCACTTTTTTAATCGAAACCTGTAGTTAAAACGTAAAAAAAATTTTCACCCCGAGATGGGGTGGCAACCACCCCTAAGGCTTTGGCGCACTTTGGTTCGATATAGATTTTGATCCTTGGCTATTACCTACCTTCTGTTAAAATTTCAAGTCAATCCACGCAGGACGAAAAAATTGCGAGGTGAAATGCTTCATTTCCTGGACTATAAGTGGTTTGACAGCATAATAAAATCGTAGATTTATGTGTAGCTTTCAATTTTTATGATTTCAGAATCCAGCAGCCCGCTGAAGTATTGGATTTTTATAATATAATTATTTGACAACCTTTTGTTGGTCAACCACCTACAGCAGAATTGAGCCGAAATACATAATATTTCGTATGTTCCGAATTTATTTCGTTCAATCTGTATACTAGCTTAATCTGTAGTTAAGAAAGAATTCAGCTGAACGGTTATTAAAAATTTATATGGATTTTGTAATTTGTTTGATCTGAATTTTTTTTTTAATTTTAGGCCAAACATTATGTTGATACATTTTTGTCTCACTGCACAAGACCATTTACGCTTTTTCTTCAATTATGTGGGCATAACAGAGCCAGACAAAGAGATAAATTGGCTCATATTTTAGAAGACTTTACTTCTTTGCAGGATGAGGTAATAATAAATGTAATAAACTATTTTTGTGCAATCTATTAATTGAAAAAATTATTTTCAGGCAGAAAGAGTAGATGCTTATTTGCACACCCTTTCCGTAAATTCTTCACATATAGCCTGTTTTGGAACCTGGATTTTATATCATACTTTAAGAATAATGATTATGTATCTCTTAACTGGATTTGAGTTAGAACTATACAGCGTACACGAGTTTTACTATATTTATTGGTATGATTTCTTATATTTTTCATGTATAGTCCAAATTCAATAGGATTGTCAGGGCAGACATTTTGTAGTTGGTCAACACTTCATAGTAAGCGGCTTTATACAGTCGATCTGCCGGATCTTTGCACATCGTCATCATTCTTATTATAGGAAATAAATCAAAACATGTGAGTCAAACGTATGTCGGCTATAAGAATTATTATAAAAATTAGAAAATGGCTAATATTACAATTGACGTTTTTATACTTCTCTTTTATTTCATTTATTGCATTTTAAAAACTGGGTACGTATACATTTATGAACGTGATTTTCCAAGTTGTCCAATAACATCTACAGTAAATAAATATTTAAACCATAGTAATCAGAAATTAAAGTATTTTTATTGAATATAAGCATAATATTTCATATTGCCCGTTGACGGAGTTTTAGCTATATTTAAATAATTAATGTCAATTTAGAGGTTAAAAAAATATATTATTCGTTATTAGCTAATACATGAATTCTTACCTTAATAAATTGAACATGAAGGTAAGGGTTAGTCGTTACAACAACTGTTTGTTAAAAAATATGTATATTTAAAGTATGAAAAAGGATTGATTATTTAAATCAAACGAAAATAATTTATAAAAATTTTACAAACTCTGTCAAAACAAAATTTCCAATTGCCATGTCCATAGATAAATAATATAATAGTTGAAAGTCATGTCAATTGTCAGTAGACGAATCAATCAGAGATCATTGTTCTATGGCTGTCTTTGTTCAATGTATGGTCACAGAATAATAAACAAACAGAATACCCACTCTCCACGGAAAATTAAGTACGCGCATCTCCTCCGCGCAGACGTTCCGCCATGTTTTAGGAGGATTTTAAAGAAATTAGTGTTGTTTATGTGGTGTGTATGGAAAAATTAACCAGGTTTATTTGACTTACGGCAATCATAGACATACTATACAATTATATTAACATTGTTAAATATAATAACATAAATATAATATAATTAAACATAAATATAAACAATTACATAACCACACAAATCATATGTCTGTGTCCTCCTAAAACATGGCGCGCGTGCTGAAAAACTTCAAAGGCGGCATCTGAGAGTGGCCCTTCTGATTGCTTATTATTCTGTGGTATGGTGTTGTGCATGATACTATGAATAACAAGATAGGATCTTCCCGTAGCCCAAAAACGGTCGTGTTCGCGCATGCCGTCATTGGAGAGTAGAATTTGAATTCTTGTTAAAGTTAAATGGGATTTGTATGCATTCTGTGATGAAATTACTAGACGAAAATAAGTTAAGAAGTTCAATAATTACAATAATTGTACACATAAGGATATCTAAAAACTATTTATTGAAGATTATTTATTGACACATACAAAAAACTGACATTTCGAACGTGCAACTCTCCAATGACGTCACAAAAACATGCGCAATATCTTATCTTCTTATCATAGTATCATGGACAGGCGGTTTAAATTAATAGTTTTAGTTTCTGTGAGTAGGAACGAGACGTAACATAAAAAATAATTCGTGAATAATGTCATACTTGTGCAAAGATCCGGCGGACCGACTGTAGGTACATAAGATCGTTATTCAAATATCAGTATGTTTAAAGAAGTCTAATATGAAGGGTTCCTTTCGAATTAGTCCTCACAATGCTTTCCCTTATTTTAAAAATGTATACGCCACCATTGAACTACACTTTTCGCTTGTCTCGGACCCCTCCAGAGTTAATCATTTTTAAGCGAAACTCTGACAATCCTGTTGAATTTCGATTATAGGATAATTTTTTTTTTCGGGTCATTTTGATTAATATGATAACGTCTATTCTTTCAGGTATTTGTACGAATTTTTGTACGGTTGGCTCATATCAGCTTTATCTAGAGCGGATAGCTTTTTAGCGGAAAATGAGCTTCTGCACGATCCCCATAAGGGCAAGGGAGCCACCAAAAAGAAGCCGAAGAATAAGAAGAAATCTAGGCAATATAATAAAGATATTGTATATCTTCAAGCTCTTCAAAATATGTGTGGAGGTTATTACAAGGTAATTAAAAAATATATATTACTTTATCGGTACGTCAGGTGTATAGCTGCTTTATTAGTGCTTAATAAGTTATTTTTGATTACAATAATAATATTAAAATGAGTGGAGATGATATATTGTTTTTTATACATGGCTTAAGAATGAAGCAGGAAGAGGTGTGGTCGAAATAAGTTCCGCGTTGACTGACTTTCTAAAAAAGACTGATTTTGACCCAGATATTAAACATCTTCGATTGTTTTCGAATGGATGTAGGGGTGAGAATAAAAATTCCCACATGATACATGCACTTATCTTGTGGCTTTTGAATAATCATCATAATTATTTTCAATTATTTTCAATAATTATTTTCAATAATCATCATAACTTGAGTCAAATAAACTGCTGGGGAAAGTAAAATTATATTTTATACTGCTGTATAAAACAGAGGTATTGTATAGAAACGATGCCCCTTCTAAAAAGTTTTCAAGTTTAATTCAAGCACAGAAAAAACTAAGCAACATAGTACTGCCGGAAATGCCAATGAAGCATGCTGTTAAGAAGAAAAACTGGATAGCTTATTAAAATTTTTAGTTAGTTTATCAGGCAATGTCTGGGCATTAGATCTATAGTTAACTTGGTTAGATCCAAGTTTTCAAATAGCAGTATCGTGAAATTACAATTGAAAAAGACGACCTGCGATCAATGTGAAGATGGAGAAGAATATTGATGTCTTCTGGAGGACGACATACGTCATATAATTTTTTTACTATATTGTATTCCAAACACTCAGAAATGCATTATCAGTTCATATTTTTATTTTATTCATTTAGAGACATGTGTGTCATCACATAGAGACAACCAAATGGCGTTTTGTCCGTCAATGTTTTTTTGAAAAAGCTAATAAAGCTTGATGAAACTTATAAATAGGTTAAATTGATAATAAAAAAGTACATTTATTCATATTTTGTGTTTTTATTTTAAGTATTAATAATTAAGTAGCAGTTTTTCTCACTTCCTGAAAAATGTTAAAGATGAACAAAGTGCGATATAAGAGTCTGCTCCTCGAATATCCTACAAGAAGAAGATGTGTTCTTCTTGTTTAACTGTTTTATTAATTTGCTTGTACTCTTCTACTGTTCGTTCTACTCGTTTACTGTATTGATCACTTATTAAATCAAACATTTTAAATATTTATTTATCTTTTGTTACAGGCATTAATGGGTTTCCGACTAGAAATGAAACTGATTATCCCTAACCCACGGTTCGACAGCGAACAAGTAAGATATGAACACCGATTTGCACCATTTCAGAACCTCTTGACTCCGCCTCCTGTAGTGTATTCAGAATTTAAAGAGATGACTTCATTTGAAAGATTCCAACAGCAACCAATTGACAGTGCTTTTCTGTATATAGCTGGGTACAAACATTTTTACCAAGCTCGGAAGTTACTTGAAAGCATAGCTCCAGATAGCGAAATTTCGGATTTATTGACAATTTGTAAAACTAATTTTGTTGTTTTAAAATTACTAGCCGGTGGGCATAAAAAAGATTCCACAAAGCCTCCCGAATTTGACTTTTCTAAAAATAAATATTTTGCTACCATGAAGATCACATAAGTTCGGTAAAAATGTACAAATGATTCAATGCTGAAACCAAGGTTTATAGGGAATCTGCGGCTTGCTGCGCTTTTTCTTACAAACGAATTAAGTGTGAATTTGGTATATAATTTAGTTGAAAAATAGGATGACCATAAATATGTAACAATTAAATCTGATAATCTTGGAGCACACAAACTTTTTGTTTTCATTTGACATATCATTTCCTTTTTCTCTCATGGCATTTCATTTATAAAAAAAAACTCAAATAAACTCAAAGGCCTCTTCAGAATAATTCTCCATTCACCCATTTCTTCAGAATAATGCTCTAACTCGTTCTATTTGAACTCTTCCTATAAGTTATCTTAATACCCAAGTCTTGGTCTTCCTCTGGCTTGTTGTCCCATCGGCTCTATTCCGCCAAAAACTTTTCTTAGGGTCGGTTCTACAATGCTAGTATATACTGAGAATAAAGTTATACTTGGAATAACTTCATTAATGGTGTTCTACAAACAAAGAATAAACTAGGAATAAGATCATCAGAGTATATCTGTAGAATAACTTTATCCCTTCAAAGTTTAGCAGATATACCAAGTATAAATTTATACTGCAATTCTATTGGTCGGTCAGGGTTTGTCAAAAGTCAAATCTGTAATATTTTAACCTCACTTTATGCCATTCAATGAACTGTGGTTTTGTTTGTTTTTATATATAAAATAAAATTTTTGATATTGCTCAAACATTTTAGATTGTAAATCCAAAAGAAATTTTATTAGGCAATCCAAAGGAAAAAGAAAGCATTTATTATTTCAATTCTAAAATTTTAGGATATGTATGTAATGTAATAACCTCTACACATATGACTAATATAGTATAGGTATAATCTTACCAAGGCAATATATTTTTTAATGTTTTGATAACAGAGACTGTAATTCTAGAATCTGTATTATATAAACATTTCTTTAACTAAAATTATATATTTTGTAATCCAATATTTATACTTGTTTAAAATGTGGAGTACCTATATACATAATTTTGATTATATTACAACACTAATCTCAGTTGATAATAATACAAAATTTAAGAAGGAAATCTTACTATAGAGAAATGATTTTATATACAATATTCCAAAAATTTTACTACTTTGGCTTATAAATAAATAGTAAAATATACAATGATGTACATGGTTGTCAAAATAGTATTACAAAAAGCCTGTCAAAATCAGGGTGTTGAAAGTAAGAGTGTAAATAAATAATGTAATAAGAGCAAAAAGCCCAAGGAAAAAAGTAATGAATAATGTCATATAAAGAGGGTAAAACCAAGGAGTTCATAAAAGGTTTTTGATTTTCACTACAGCACTGAAATAAAAATTGAGAAACCATGGGTTAGGAAATAACTTAAGTACAGAAACAAATGCAATATATTTGAGATACAATAAAATGTTACAATATAATATCACTATTTTATTGATTCAATGCTAGAACCGCTTCCAAGCAACTTATCTGCTATCTCCTTTAGCACAGCAGTTTGTGTATTTATTGCAGTAATCTTGTCTTGTCTGAAAATGTTTGTTGGAACAAACCTAATATAATATAATGTGAGTCATGAGGAACTATACATACTCCTACCTCGTATGGAAACCCCTATGGGAAATAACAAGTAACCAGTAAAAAGTGCAAGGGGAATTGTGATTTTATAAAAACTTGATATTCCAGTTTGTCTAATTTGTAAAATTTTTGTTTTAAAAACCATAGGTTGAGATTCTTTCATGAACAGAACAAACTATTTTTTTTTAAACCAGACCTGACTTGATTTCTAGTTTAAATGCGAGGTTTAGTGACAGCAGCGTAATATTTTACCAAAATATGAGACACATCAAATTTACAATTCAAAAGCTATGATGAATAGAAGTCAGTCAAAATTGATAACTCGCCCTGTATATTATTAAACAATGAGAGCGAAACTTTTTAAGGGTCATTTGTTATTCCCCATAGGGTCCTCCATACAAGGTTGGAGTATGTCCTGTATTAACTAAGTACTAAGTAAATATTTTACACTTTATTTCTTGTTTTAAAATTTGAACTTCAAACTGGCATATTGTTTCTTTGTGGTTTTCTTCAAAGACTCCCAATTGCTTCGAATCATTTTAGCTGTCCTTACTGTACCACAATTAGAATTAAATTTTATGGATAATTTTAACCACTCCTCATCTTTCATTACACTTGTTGTTGTGTCAGTTTTCTTACATTCTAAAAACAAAATTAAAATAAATACTTAACCCATAGATACATATTTTTTTACATACCTATTATTTCTTTATGTTCTTCAACTAAACTCACAAGCATTTCAATTTCTGTATATGTAAAATTGTTACATCTTTTTTCATCCATTTTATATTAATTTTGCAAAATATATTAATATAAACGTACATAAAATACCAGATAAAGCGAATCAATTATTCAATTCCTTTCAATTGTAAACAAATTTTACAGTTATGACAAATGCCAAATGTCACTGTCAATAACAATTTGAACTAATTTTGAAGATATCAGATCTACTATTTCGTTTTACCGTAGTGTTCTGTGGTTATACCCAGAATAACTATTCCGCTGTCGATTTCACAATGTAGAACGCTCGAAAGGTTATACTTGGAATAAACTCAAGTATAAGTTATACTCAAAATACATATTCTCCAATTTATACCTGGATTGTAGAACCGGCCCTTAATGTTGCACCTCTCTCTCGCCTGATTACGTGCCCTATCCATATACAGCGTTCTACCTTAATCCCTGAAACTTCTAGACAACTCAAAGTTGCAACGCCTGCTCCACAAACCTTGTTCTTTGATTTCTCCACATATTCTTTGAATTTTAAGCAGTTTTTAGTCCTTCTGTGTAAGTGACCACGTTTCTGCTCCATCTGCATCTTATTAGTGTTTTATTGACGGTCACTTAAATTTTTCTGGGTAGTTTTGAGGCGATCTGTCTATCTGTAATCTTAAGCCATAGTAACACTTATTGGAAAGCACTATTCTTCTTTTAATTCCTTCACTGACGTTATCTTTAGTCAACAGCGATCCTAGGTTATGAAGGTGTCCACACCTTTTAGTTTTCAAGTGGTCCATTAGTATTCTACTAGATGTCTGGTTGCTTGACTCAATCATCATCATCATCAACCTGTATGCGTCCACTGCTGGACATAGGTCTCCCTCAGCTTTTTCCAGAGTACAAGTTTTGTAGATATAACCAAGTTTTGCGTTTTATCGAAGTTAAGTTTCAGTTTGTTTACAGCAAACCATGTGACAAGAAACTTCCTCGTAAGACATATTTAAATCATCGTTAATTTTTCCTAGTGTAACTTCTGTCTCTCAACTGCGAATTGTACGGACTTATGCGGAGATATGAATTTAGGCAAATCGTTGACATAAATAATAAACAATAGAGGTCCTAAGACCGAACCTTGTGGGACTCCATGTTTTACGGATAGAAAATCGGAGAAATTCCTTTAGACACTACCGACTGTTGTCTGCCACATAAGTAAGAAGTTATGAACTTAAGAGGAATACCTCTGATTCCTTAGTATGTTAATTTGTGGAACAAAATGTGAAACGCAGTCAAAAGCCTTCGACAAGTCGCAAAGAAAAATTGCTATGCGATTGCCGCGTTCAAGCCCCTCAATCACCTCGCTCACATTATATACCCCATTGGTAATAGAACGAGCAATTCTGAATCATATTGTAAGCTGCTAAAATATTTATCGGACTCAAAATAGAAATATAATATAAATACTGCACAGTCCCTACAATATTACACTGTGCAAAGGGTTTCCCAGGTCTACTGTTTATCTGGATTCATCGGTGAAAAATATTCTTTCCCAATTTTCATTATGTCAAAGATGTTCAATGCTGTGCCAGTGGGTGCCCTTTCAGAGCGCAGATTATTTTCGGCAAATGTCCTTACCGTATTTGGGTTTATTCTAAAATTATAATGGTCCAAAAATACGTTTCATAGAGTGTACGAAGCAACCCTGTGTCTCAGTGTACGAAGTCTCAAGAATAGTTGTAACCCTTTTGCGGCCTTGACTTGGTTCTTAAGTTACTCCCAGTGATAGCAAAACCTGTTATAACTGTTGAAAAAATGGTTGATTGAGTGAGATTTAACCTTTCACCGAGTTTAACTTGAGTGTATCCTTTTTTGCGAAGAGTAACGATTCTAATGCAGTCAGATTCTGACAAATTTCGATTTTCGTGCTGCTGGTAATTCATTTTAAGAAATAACACCAAATAACCTAAAAAAACTCCTTTGAAGATTTAGCAAAATGTAGAACTGCTATAACGTTTTTAATTTACTTGCAAAAAAAATAAAAAAACTAGTTTTTTTACAGTTCTACCAATAAATCTTTACAATATATCGCTATATAGTAAAGATTTATTGATTTACATTATGAGATAATTTTAGTTAATTTTTTTGATATTTTTAAATAGAGTGGGGTAAGTATTCTTGCCCGGTCCAATAACACACACACACGTGGTCTAAATGACCATATGTATTTTTATCTAATTTTGTTTGGAATCATATGATGCATATTTACAGAAATAAACTTACACTTGTTATAAATTAATTGTCGTTCATTTTTATACTGTCTGTCTTCCATACTTTCCCTACTCGAGCGAAAATCAGAAAATAAATAACTGTTTAACTATCGAATTTTATATAACTCATCGAAACATACTTACCTAGAGCACAGCCACCTTTACTTCCAAGCCATGAAGTAAAAAAGGCAACACCGCATTCTATGACGTCGGTAGTCCGATAATCAGCTGTAAGGTCTACCAGAAAATTATACTAATTTGAATTTTAGGAAACTGATATTTTGAAAACCTCAATTCATTACAGAAATATTATTAGGGAAATTAAATTAATAAAACCTTATATTTACCTAATATAATATACTATATATATATAAAGTTTTATTATTATTTAATTTTAGGTTATATTATCAATAAAATAATCACTAGAGTAAAATTTATTGCACTTAAAATACAGTGTCAAACAGTTAATCTTACAATCAAATGCAGTCAAGAATCTCTAGAAATTTTAAATATTAAGTACTTAAGCTATAAATAACACAATACATTAACACGACATTTAAAATGATTATTAAAAATACAAAAGATATAAAATTTGTTCAGTAAAAACTTAGTGTAACTATTATGATTACAAAATTCATCCTAAGAAATCAGACACAATATAAACATGGTTCTAAATTAATCGAATTGAAAATTAAATATTTTACTATTTACTTATAACTTTTGTTGAATTTTCATACTTAGGTATACGAAAGTAGCAATTTTAAATATGAATAGGTTTTTTGTCATATAGACCAAGTTAAGAGAGGTATACATGAAAAATGTGTTGAATGGAACATACCATTTATAACTTGTATATCGATTTAAAATAGCCTATATTCTCAAAAGATTTTTGAATGTAATACTCAAATTTGTTATCACTTATCTAAAAAGCAGATCTAAATGAGAAAGTAAGTTCTCTAATTGTGACCATCTTGTTAATTTACTATATTGTAAAATCCATTTCAAATCATTACTACTTAATCTATTCTTACCTACATTGACGATTACACTAAAATTACTGCTAACTATTACACTATGTATTACACAAATATTATCACACTTGTGTCCCAACTGATTAATGTTTAATACATAGAAATATACACAGTCACTTGTAATTTTACTTGTCCAGTTTTTCAATGGGATATTATTGTCTTAGTCTAATTGTCATAATTATGTTATCTCTTGTTCCCTCTTCTTATGCAAAAAGTTTCTTCTGTCTTCGGGATTCCTTCTTTCTTTAGTACGATGAACAGTTACATATGATGGTACTTCAGAAAATATATTAGG